CTGGTCCTATTACGGAATCATCTCGTTCGAGTTTGTAACCGTTAGATCATCATGTAGTTAGTATAGGACAATTAATATAACAATTATAAACCCCAACGGGATAGTTTCGTAACGGAACTGTAGCATTTCACGTAAGTTGATTACGTCTAGTAAAGATGGCTTGGCGTTTTTTAAAGGAGCCCACCTCGCTCTGGAGCAGGATTCTTCGTGAGAAATACCATATAGACCCTAATTTCATGGATGCGGGTTTTGAGTTCCCTCGAGGCTCGACGATCATTAAGGCTCTCCGCGACGTATGGCCAGCTCTTGTCGCGGGCTGTCGATGGTCTATCGAGAATGGATTGCAGGCCCGCTTTTGGTGGGACTGTTGGCTCGGCTGTGCAACCCCGTTGATTCAGGTCGCGGTTGGGCCGGTTCCAGAAAATCTATTGCACCACCCGGTCTCGGCGTTTGTAGCGGATGATGGTGGATGGGACTGGCGGCTCTTTCAACACCTGCTACCCGCCACCTTTTTGCTCCGTATTTCGGCTGCGCCGCCACCACAGGCCCGTCGAGGTGAGGATTCTTGTTACTGGGGATTGTCTTCGGACGAACGGTTCACCACTAAGTCGGCTTATTCAGCTTTATTGCCGGCTGCCGGCAATTGCTCGACGTCCTGCTGGAAGCTCATTTGGCGGTGGACTGGGCCGCAGCGTGTTCGTCATTTTTTGTGGCTCGTGGCTCGGGATGGGTTACTCACCAATGTGAACCGATTTTGTCGTCAAATGACCATGAATCTGATGTGCTCCATCTGCTCGGAGGGGCCGGAGTCCATTCTGCATGCACTTCGGGACTGTAGGGAAGCACGACTTACATGGGAAAGTTTACTCCCCCGCATGGCCTGAGCTGATTTCTTCTCGATGGATTCTCGTATTTGGTTGGTGTTTAACCTCTCCGGCGGCTTCGCTCCGGCTGTAGATGATTGGGTGTCACGATTTGGGCTCACGGCGTGGCGGCTATGGAGATGGAGAAATTTGAAGATTTTCCAGGGACGTGACACCACCTTAGCCAACAGGTTGGGTGAGATATTCTCCTTTGCGGATAAAATGCATGGAGTTCAGACTACTAGCCGTAAGGTAGGATTCCCCGGGGGCCGGATGGAGCGATGGATTTCGTGGTCCTGTCCGTCGGACGACGAGCTTAAGGTCAACACGGATGAGAGTTTCTTGGCCACGACAGGTATGGCGAGTGCGGGGGGAGTCATTCGGGATCATCGTGGGTTATGGATCAGTGGCTTTATGATAAACATTGGCTTATGCTCGGTTGTTGGAGCCAAATTTTGGGGTTTATTCCACGGGCTACACCTAGCCTGGGAGGTGGGAGGTCGAGCAATTGTTGCTGAAGTGGATAATAAAAGTATTATTGATCTAGTCCATGAGATGGCTTATGATGGACCACATCTGGGTTTGGTAAAGGGGATTCGTGAGCTGCTACATAGGCCCTGGCGGTGCGGCTTACACATGGTTACAGGGAGGCGAACTTTGTGGCGGATTTTTTGGCTTCCCTGGCAGCAAAAGGCCCGAGTGGTTATCATCGGTTGG